TATTTGTGGATGTGGTTCCCCACAAAATGTGGGGCGGGTAACCACACCCACCCCAATTTCCACCCCTAGAATTTTAGACAGTTGATGGATTTTGATGTCTACAAGGCTAAGATCCGGACAAAATTTGCTGTTTACAGCGTGAATATGCACATCTTTTCCATCTAATGGTCTTGACCCCACTAGTCGAGAGTGATTGATTCATTCATCATGTTTTGTTCATTTCTTATACCCCAGTGAGGACCTAGGTTGCTCCATCGTTTGTTCCAATGATGTGATCTTAATGCATGAGTGACTGTGATTGATGAGTCGTCGAGGCATGTGTGTTGGTTGATGAATAATGTGAGAACTCTTCATTTGCACAATCTTAATACAGTTGAATGTCGTTTGTGGTGGTTGCCATTGTTACTTTGTTTTTCTCCATAGGTCGGTATCAAATAACCATTGTGATTCATTCGTTTTGTGCCCTATAAAATTCCCCAAAAATTTTGTTAAAAAAGAAGTTGTAAGCTTACCTTGTTTTGTACTTGGTTTGCTTGGGGACAAACAAATGTCTAAGTGTGGGGGAGTGATTTGGGTCCAAATGTACACATTTTACCCCTCATTTCTGATTCGTTATGCTTAGTAGATCACCGTCCCTCGACCTATTTTACGGTAGGTTGTGCTTGTTTTGTTATATTTCAGGTCCTAGCAGATGTGGGAAGGTCCGGGACGAGTTTTGGGTCATTCGGAGGTCAAAACGAGCCAAAAAGTGGAGGTTGAGCCCTATTCACGGGCTGGAGCTTCAGTTCACGGTCTCAAGACCGTGAACTGAAAGCCCAAACCGTGAAGTGACCTATTTCCAGCGTGGTTCTACAAGTTAATGGCTTCAAGTCAGTTCACGGTCTTAGAGACCGTGTACTGAACCCCCAAACCGTGAAGTCGTCAGTCCACTGTCTCTATGACCGTGAACTGATCAACGCGGCCGTGAACTGAGGTCTAAGACTGTGAACTGGGCCCTGTAGGGCAAATATAAAGACAACAGCTGGGAGAGAGAAAAGAGACCTGATTTTGGAGAGGGATTCTATTCTCTCTCTAGGGTTTCAACCCAAAACACTAAAGGGGAGTTCTAGAGAGAGAGAGAGAGATTGTGCGCTTGAGTGATCTTGGAGGTTAATTGGAGGCTTGGTTGATCTTGGAGACAAGGATTCAAGCCTAGAAGAAGAAGATCGTGGGCTCTATTTGTAATTTCTCTCTTCCATGTTTGATTGATGATTCTACTTAATTGATGGATGTTTTCATGAATGACATGAGTTGGGTTTCCATTTTCCTGTATTGAGCTTTTGACCTAAGAGGGAGAAAATCCCCTTAGAGTCCATTATTGGCATCTTCGGGTGACTTCTCACCCTATATCGTTAGGGTAATCCCCGAGGGAGTCGATACCATGGATCTCCTACGATATAGGATTGCCCTAAGTTGAATAGATCCTAGCACATTCATTGATTTGCCATTCTGGGTCATTCCCAAGGGAGTCTATCTCCTAACGGTAGAGTAATTGAGTCAATCGATCTTTTGACCTAGGAGGGAAACAACTCCTCACCCCATATCGTCCGAGTAATCCTCGGGGGAGTCGATTGGATCGATCTCCTACGATATAGGGGTGCCCTAGGTTGAATAGAGCTCCTACCCATCCATCACTTCACCGTTCCCGGTCCGTCCTGAGGGAGTTGATTTCCTAACTGTAGGATAATGGGTGGATCGAGCTAGGATGGTACTCAACATCAATCAAAAGGTCAGAAATAGGAGGATTTAACCCAAGAGAACTCCCAAACCCTTGTAAATAGCTAGGATTAGTGGTTAGTCTAGGTTAGTTAGTTTAGTTGTATTAATCACTATCCTAGGTTGGCTAGATAACGAATCCTAAACCTGAAGTAGGGTAAGCCTAGATCCCCGTGGTACGATAAATTCTTATTGCTTGCTTGCCCTATGTTACACCCAGTCGGCGGTTATACTTGCCTGTCGATCGGGATGTTGTAGTTAGAACGTGTCAAGTTTTTGGCTCCGTTGCCATGTAACCATTATAGGTTATTTGAAAAAGGGTTAGGTCGTTACTTTAGCCGTTTTGTGTTGTGTTTGTTGACCCACTCTTCGCTTTGAAGGGTGGTCTATGTTTGTTTGATTTTTTTTGTGTTTTTGTTGTTTGTAGGTTTTGAATCATGGACCCTTATGATTTCACCCAAGTGTGGGGGTATCCACCACCACCCGAGAGTGGATACCTCGGAGCTTCATGGGAAGATCAAAGTGGTGGAAGTCAAGGATCCAGGTTCTATTACCAACCTCCCTTCCAAGAACAAGAACCATACCAATGGGGATATGAAGAGGCTCCCCCATATAAAGAAGATTTCCCTCCACAACTCGAGGAGAAATCCAAGTTGGAGTTGGCAATGGAAACTTTCATGAGACAATCCTCAAGAACATTTGCCACTCCACAACCGGAGACAAAGAGCCAATTCGAGCTCATGGTGGAGCGGTTTGCTCGGGGCACCGATGAAGGGTGCTCGAACTTGGATCTCCCACAACCCGAAGAGAAGTCCCCAAGTTGGAGCTTGCCATGGAGAATTTTAAAAGAACAAGCTCCAAGATGGATTTCCAACCCCTCCTTCCTCCCAATTTGACACAAGAAGAGAAGGTGGCACGAGCTTGTGCAAGCTATCGCCTCTCATCATTGGAGGAGAAAGAGGAGGTTGAAGGAGCGATCAATGACAACCGTGTGGAGCAAGATGAACTCACCTGGAGAGTTCCCATAGTGAGGATGAACAAGAGGGTTGCATTGATGACTTTCACACCCTTCCCGATAGCAAATTTGAAGACCAAGTCAGGAGTATGGAGGAGAAAGAGAATCCTTTCTATGATCTTGCATGGCATCTTGCCCTCCAAACAGTGCTTGAAGACATGAATGGGACGGAGAAGGAAGAGGTTGAAGAGGAGGAAGAGAGCATCAAAGAGGAGGAAGATCTTGATTGTTCCCAAGGGTAGGAACACATTGAGGAAGAATGAAGGGAGGTTGAAGATGAAGTAGAAGGATCAAATGGTGTCCAAGATGAAGTTACAAGAGCTACCAATGTTTTCCACCTGACCTCAATGCACTTTTGGCGAAGGACCCGTTTGCGGCTCTTTGGCAAGCCAAGGCCAAACCATCAGTGATCCCTCTTTGTGGATGCGGTGGAACTAAATCGAGTTTGCATTATATGGTGTGGGGCAAAGAGACGGAGGAAGAAGGAAATAAGGGGAGGTCTCGTGAGTGGAGCCTCAAAGTCACTCAAGTTCACGAGCCCTCAATCATGGACTCGTCCAATGCTCGTGACTTGAGACATCACCTCACCGACAAGAACCTCAACTTCAAGGAGGTTCTTGGGTGGACCGAAATTTGAAGACCAATCGTCCGGCTCACGACATTAAAGAAGCTCTTGGTGGGAGGCAACCAAACCATCATCGGTTTGCATCTCTTTTCCTTTCAATATACTTACTTATCTTGATGAAGTGGTAACTCTTACTTCTGTTTTATTTTGTAATTAGATTCTTCGAACAAACAAACCTCATATAATTTTCTTTAGAGTTTCATACTGATAACATGTTAGTTTCATTTATATTTAATTTAGTTGGTTGTATACTCAAAGTTCGAACCCAGAGAGTATGGTGGATATTCTCATCCAATTTTACCATTTGGCCAACTCTTTAAAGTTGACTTGACTAAGTCTTGGTAAAGTATACAAGGAAAATTTTATACAAAATTTTTAACGATATAAGAACATACAAAATAACAATAAACTCATACTCAATTGTTTTTAAGAGTGTTGAAAATAACATAATATATATACACAGGGTAAAATATCTCGGGTGCCACTTAAGTTTAAGAATTCGGGTAGACATAGCATTAAAGTTTGAATAGGGCGTCGAGTACCACTAAACTTTATTATATGTGTACCCGGTACCACTTAAGTGTACTGCTAAGTGCATTTCGTTAAAGTTGACAGAATATTCTTGGAATATTCTGTTTTCTTAATTTCATAATTGGTCCTCCTACTTTTATTATTGTAAAAAAAATCATTTGGACTTATGAAAAACATCATTTTTATTGTTTAGTTATAATCCTCTTTTGAATACTTAATACCAAACCAATTTTTGAATAGAATATTTAGAATCAATTATCATTACGTGTTCTAATAATTTAATTATTCCATAAATGTTGTAAGTAAACAATGTTGGAGCTATTATAGTCATATTTTCTTTTCTACATTTTTATCGAATGTAGTAGCTTTTATATTTTATTTATTATTTTGTTACTTTCCATCTCTTTTTGTTCTAAATTTTTTCAATTAGTGGAATATGTTTAATTCTTTCTGATTGTTTTCCTTTTATCATTTTTTTATTTTGATATATTGATGATCGATTAGGTTCTATTTTAACTATTTCTAATGGTGCTTCTAATTCAATTAGGGAGTTTAAATAGATATTCTAATATTTATTTTAAATATTATTATTATATTCTAGTATATTTATTATTCTACTTGATATTCGTTTATTATTTTTACTAATTTATCTATTGTATTGAAAACTTTTGATTAGTCATTATAGTAATAATATGTTTGGATGGAAAAATAGACGGATGCACATTTTGACAACTTTGATGGTACCCGACGCCCTATTCAAATTTAAGTGGTTTGTTTACGCCAATTCTTAAACTTAAGTGATACCGAGGTATTTTACCCTATATACACAATTAATTTTGAAGAAGTTTATGTATGAAAATCTGCACACATATATAGATCAACAAGACAAATTACATTAAGTTCACACCTTATTATAATGATATATGATTAAAAAGCTTGTTCAATGGGTAACAACTAACAATTAACTCAAGTAAGAAACCTTGAGACATTTAACATGATTGACACAAGACACAACACGCATAAATTTACCACCAACTCTAAGCCATTAATTCCGCGTCATTCAATCACCAATTTTTAAATAGTAATACTATTCGGAATCCCCTTGCCGGTCCGGCCAACCTCGCTGGTCGGAAACAACAGAGTGTATGGTATCTTTACTGCTCCATACCGATTCCTCAGATTCTCCTCTCCGTTCCTCTCCACAATCCTCTCCTCAACCTCCGTCAATTCCTTCCCAAACCTCTCGAATGCCGCCGCCGCCTCCAATTCTGCCGTCCACCCCGCCGTGTCCCGCTGACCTAGGTAAAACTCATCTGAAGAATGCGTCGATAGAAGTTCAATCAGCGAGATCCCCAAAAGCGTCTGGAGCCTCGCCGTGATCGTCCTGAAGAAAGCCCTATCTGGGTTCTCCCGCATCTCCTCAAATTCCAGCGTTCCTTCCTCCGGCATGAACCGCCGGCTGATGGTGGGGCGATTCGGCATGTAGCCGGCATAAGTGTACTGCCCAAAATTGGTGGCTGCATGGAGCGCCGACGCGATCCAGATCACAGTCGTGCACGATTCGATGAGTTCGTCTCGATTACGCATCTTGGGCCACCAGGGCTCGTCTCTCTTGTCCGCATGGCCGACCTCCACGAGTTCTTTCCACCACGTTTGGAGCTCGACATCACTCCGAATCGCATCGTCGGTTTTGTAGTACAATGATGTGTAATTGGCTACCCAGTTTCTGATCGCTGACCAGATGTCGAGCCCGTCGACGGCGTATGGGTAGTCTTTGATAAGAAGTCGGAGACCGTGTTTGGACACTGGGTCAGGAACCGCCATTCCCCTGCAAGTTGTTCGATGAAATGCCTGAATGAGCTCAAAAGTCAAAACTTGGTAATTGTCATATGTCATTTTCATTCGTTATTAATTTACCTCTTTTTGAGATCCTGAGGGAGGGCTTGCTCAGTGAAATTCCAGTGTTTATACAGCGACGAAGAGAATTCCATGCAGTACTTGGCAGGGTAGAGCGTGAACTCCATCAGTCCTCCGCCATTGATGAGGACCTGTCTCCCAAGCGCGTTTATGTTCATGGTATCTCGAAAATGAGGGTGGAGAAGCTTGAAGATCGGGTGAACTACGCTGAGCTGCCTGTTTGTGGCAATGACAAACGGCTCGATCACGGCATGAGTGTGCAAGAAGTGACTGATGAGCTCGTGGTAGCCGGAATCGTTTACTGCTACATATGCTTTGGCCAACTGCCAAATGATTTCTTCGAGGCTGCCCTCCTCCTTATGATCTGCAGGTGGTGGAGTGTAGACTTTGTTAATGGCTCCGAACTGGTCTCCGTCGGGATGTGGCAAGCTCAATTCGATCGCCAGTGGCTTCAATGTGTCATCATTTTGCAGGTATAGGATTGTTCTTGTTGCATAGGCTTTGGAGGTGGTGTTGTGGTTAATCCTCCGTAGGTATGGCATTATTGTGTCGTGGTGATCTAGTATGAATAGCTTGTTGGTCTTGATTGCCTGAAGAGCCAAATGCAACATATACTTCAGTTCATCAACATGTGGAACAAATTTGTAGAAGTCTCAAATGGGCAATTTGGGATGGGCTGAGCGGAGTTGATTGGGTTGGGAGTTGATCAGGCAGTGGGATATATCAAATTATTGGTCTATTAGGCTTTTTGGCTGCAAGTCAATTGTGCTTTGTGATTGGATTACATGTCAGGGGTTCGGTTAATGGAGTTGGACCATGTTTGGATGGTTCTATATGTTAAGGGGATCTGATGAGCATGTTGATTGAAATTTAGGGTGGATCAGTCTGGTCTCAAATCATTGAATGTGGTCGGATTGTGATTCTACTAGATTACAGGTTAGTCGGATTACGAGCCCATCAAGCTGTGGGTAATGGAAAATTCTATAAACTTATTCATCTAGATTGAAGGGATTGGAAAGGTCGAGCCAGATTTTCAAAGCGAAAGAGATTCTTTACCTCAGCTACAGTCAATCCATTCAGGTGATGCCTTATGTGTTCGTCACTAATCGAACTGTCCTGATTGCCATAGACTTTAGCATCCAGCTTGCTCCTCGGTGGAAACTCTTGAAGAATACTAATGACAACAGGATTAAGCCCAGCCAGCATTTCCCTCGCAAATTCTTCATCAGTTCTCCAAGCAGTCCTACTCTCTGCTCAAAGATTGTCATCAACACAAACAAGAAATAAACGTGAGTTCCAAACTTATACATGGATAAATCTCCATTGCCACATTATACACACATACAGTACTCCTATATGTACCTTTGATCACTTCTGGCCAAGGGTATTTCAGAATCCTTTCCCCATCAGTATGGAAAATCAGGTTGATGATATCTAAAGGAATATCCTTCCAGAGGTTATCGAGTGTGGGACCACGATTGAGCTTCACCCCTCCATCGTATAGCTTCAAAGCATCATCGAAGGAATCGAATTCATTGCCATCCTCAGAACACAGAGCCTCCAGTTCAGGCTTCACAATTTGAACGATGGCTTTGAGCCCGTTCAGAAGGAAATCGGACATCTTCAGGTGACCAAATCTCTCGTCTCTTGGGACGTATATGTCTAGACTCATCAATAGTGGTAGCCTACTCTCTACCTTGGGATCTGCTTAGAAATGAAAACGAAATGTAAATAGATACTTTTCATGCATCAAAGTCACTTGTGCTGGTGAACACATATGTTGCATTCTGTTGGAAATAAGGTTGACCTGATTTGGATGGCGGCCTGCCAGTCCTTCCCCTACGAGGATAAGGGTACTCAGCCGATCCTCCCAGAGTTGGTCTGGCATTGTCTGCATCGCCATCATCAGGATCCCATAAATCATTGTAGCAAGCATAATCATACACTCTGTCCCATTCTTGGAGCTCCCCTTGTCCATTTCCTCTCAAAGCAACCAGCTCTTCTTCTCTGTACTTCACCAATGGCAATGGCATCTCATGTGGCAGATACGACTATTGGCGAAAAACATCAGGGGAACAAATGTCACCGTGCATGACCATTCACCACAACAAGAAAAAGGATTAGTTCAGTTCAGTTCAGTTCAGTTGTACATGAGCAAACCATTGAGTCATTTAACCTAACAGAAACGAACCTTGTTAGTGAAGAAAACTCGATCTTTGGTATAGCGCTGGGCAGGGTAAACCCAGGAGTTGCATGGGAAGTGGATCCTGCCATCCCCAGGAACATCTTCGAGCGTGAGAGACTTTAAGAAGAAGTCGTAGTGGTGATTGTTCTTGATTACAAACCCTCCTGGAACCCCGATCTCTTCTTCTTCCCACTCGAAGCTGACGTCATAGGCTGTTTCGCCGGTTTTTAATGGAGCGATTGTCGGGATCCAGTTCTCCAAGTATGCTGCCTTCCCAAGCTTGCCCTTGTTGCCATTCTCTGCACGGAACAAGTACCCGTTAGCCTGGTAATTAAGAACTCGATCTACTAATTAATTTAGTCCATTCTTGACTGGTAAAAAAAAGCCTATAACACGTAATCACCCTTTTAATGATCTGATAATAATTTTTTTGTGACTTTGTGATTAGAATTTACAACCCAATCGTTCACGTTAATCCAATGTACTCTGACCAATCCACCCTTCCCTTCTCCGGCCGACATCCTCCACGGTATTTTATTAATGCATGGCTTCCCAACCGGGATCAAATTGATTACAAAAACATTAAATATCACTGTAACGATGATATCATCACAACCCAACTTCCTCGTATTGTTTGTTTTGGTTGCTTAAGAAGAGTAGCAAGAGATTCAACTGGTCGATCGATATATTCTATGGCTTTGAAGATGGAAGTCACATGAAGCTAGCTCGCAGTCAAACAATTAACGTACGTAGTTGGTAGGTACCAAATCTTAATAATCCCACCAAACTCGATGGATCATAGAAAAAAGAAAAGGAAACGGAAGGAAGAAGATTGATATATAATCCTTTTGGAATCTTTGATTTTGGAAATGATGTATTACGACAATTTGTGTATTAAAGATTATGTATATACTAAGAATGTGTGATTTTAAAAATTCATTGTTTGGAACTTATAAAAGAATTCATGGATTATAGTTTACATGAACTATGGATACTAAAATCTCACAAAATATGTAAGATTATGAATACATCATTTTCTATGTACTAGGAATACAACATGGATTATGAATACATGCATTGGGTTATTACATCAAGTCAAAAAAACGTTGTATTCTCAGGATACATGTATACTGAAAATACATATGGAATCAGAGGTTCCAAATGACACCTATAGAGTAGGAATGTTGTGGGGCAGGTTCGGGTAGTATTTAAACAATCATGTTTGCTCCATGGTAGATTAAGTTCACGCCGGATAATTTATCGTGGGTGTCGGTCGAAGCAGGTCGACCAATATATATATGTAATTAAAAAACGATATTCATTTTTTCAATATAAAATAAAAGATAGTATCATGTAGTTAGATTATTTTAGAAGTTAAGATTCTCACATATTTACAACTTGAGCAGGATAGTTGAAATATAAGGTTAAAAAATTAAAACTCCAAGTAATTTGAGTAATATAACATATAATTTAAACAAAGATAGTTGAAAATAAGGCGGATACATCCGATCCGATCCAATATTGAAGAGAGTACCCATGTCCTTGTCAATCAAAATAGACCAAACGAATTGTCATTGGAGTAATTAAAAAGATGTACTCCTAAATAATACTTGGTACTCCGTCCCACCATTGATGTCGCCCACAGCATTAATGGTCTCTCTTCTGTCTTCTCAAAGGTGGTGGATGAAGGCAAAATGTTTTAGTCGAAAACATGACATTTAAAATGCGTCTCAATCTTTATATATGCATTAATAAAGAGATGGGTGGTATTCAATTTCAATAGGATTAAAGTACGTACAGTACAATCAACATTCAACAGAGCCATAAGATGGTAAAAAACATGACCTAAAATATATATAGCAAGATAATCAGTCATAAAGGTACTGGTCTCTGTATGAACTTAATAAGAAGCTTATAGATAGTAATTCCTCCTCCATTAAACACACAAATTAATTAAGCAGCTTTGGTCGAGAAAGACTTACGAGGATCGCAATGAACGGAGCTGATGAGTTGCAGGGAAACTCCCCGCCCTAAGAGCTCGTCGAAACGGTCGACGATCGAAGCGTTGAAGTCATTGAACTCCAGCACGTTCTTCTTCATCAGCACCACGGTGCCTTTGATTTCCCTCTTTGCAATATTATAGATCTGGCCGCCATTGTCGTCGTGGCCGGCGCTCAAGGCATCAATGATGCTCTGCATGCCTCAGCGATACAGCAACAACAACAACAACAACGGCAATAAGGAGGCCAGGCCAGGCCAGGCCAGAGAAATATTGGAGAAGATCAAGTTACTGTTGGTTTGGAGTATGTTACGTTGATGATGAGAAAAGGTGTGGCGTGGCCGTATTTATAAAGAGGGTACGTTGGCAAATAGAGAATTGACTGTCAAGATTTTCCTTCTATTTTTTTTTTTTTACTTTGTTTTTATAATGGGACCATTGGTTGATGCTGCATATTACCGTCCTCATGAATATTCAAGAAATTTATAGGTTACATTGTCTTTCAAAGATGATGATTACAGAGATTATATTTTTATTTTACTAGGAACGTTTTTATGTTGCAATTTGGCATGTGGGACAAGATTATTAAATGGGTGCGTCACATCTACTAACCTAATTTTAGAGAAGCATAACACGAGAGATGCATATGCGTGGCAATCTCAAATGCATTATTTAGATATATTTATGGGGAAAATATTAATGGTGTGGCGACATTTATTTAAGTTTAAATTCTAAAAGGTAAGGAAATAACCCGGATTCGAAAAAATAGGATATATATATACGAACAAGTAAACTCTTTGAAAAAAAAAATACATGTTGGATCGACTAAGTTGTTACCGTCAATTATCTACTAATTGCTTCGTACCATCAACATATGCTTATATATACCCAAACCATTCTTTCCTAGTCTACTCATCATTTTCTAACTTCAAAGGGAGGTCAGAATGATTTTATGTGTTTAGGAAGTGCTACCTGTTGGCGTTCAATATATTGAGCACGTACCCTATAGCTAGTTAGGTATATGATGAATCCTCTCTTTCGGGTTTATGAGCATGACTAGCTCATTGATGTGATATGTTTCAAAGGTTATGAACTTCGATGTTATTTTTCTTTGCCATTAAGAACAGGTTGGGTAATTTGTTACGGAGTACTTGTCGGGTAGGTCGATTAATACTTAATAGGGATATGTAATTTTAAAAAAAAAATTTAGAAACATTCAGTTTTTACTAAAAAATCAAGAAACAAACTATAATATAATAAATATAATTAAATTATTCGAAAAAACAAAGGTTTCACTTATTTATATAACTTCGCTATAAATAAATATGAGGTAATAAAAATAAAATCAAAAATAATTTAATCAAAATTAAAGTAATTTAGGCATAAATGAAAGTCGATAATAAGTCACATCAGCATCAGCTCGAGGAGAGTATTCCGTCCCGATCGTCGGCACCACTAGCTAGCTAGGATACATTTTTGTAATTTCTCTTTTGGGCAAATGAATGCGGCGCGGGGATTACATTTTATATGTGCCATTACCGTCACGACATCAATAGGGCCACCTTCTGCTCCTAACAGCCTCAAATTCTGGTTGGCCTAAAATTGAACACGTACGTCATCGGGTTCATATGAAATTCATTCTTCATGTATCAAGCTCCCCAAAACGATAATAATAAAAAACAGAGGATAATATGAATTCAATCTTCACCAATCTATATATTGCATGTATTGCCTCATTGATCTTGTGCAATACATACTTGGACGTATGTACATCCACGTATCTCGTAGTTCGATGGACCGTCATTGAATTTGCGTAACTAAATTAGACTGACAGATTGAAACTAATTAACTTGCCCCTTTGATCTAGATGGTAATATTGTCATTGGACAGAGAGACGATGCTCGTTGGCATGCAAAGGTAGATAGATGATTATTATTTATGATGATATAAATGCATGCATGTGGATTTGGTACGGTGGTAGCTCGCCAGCTAGGTTTGGTACTTGGATTGAAGTACTTAATTGGATGATTGCCACTTGACAGGGAAGTGCAACTCATTAATACAATGGACCAGATCCAATAAAGAAGGTTAGAAGAAAGCAAACATAGATCCGGAAGCCCACAAATTAAAGTACACCCAACTCCCACAACCAATAACAAGCCCAACCAAAGAGGCAACCAAACCCTAGCGCTAATCTTTACACACTAAAACGCCATGAAGCAGATGCACTAACAATCAAACAATACACCACTACTCTCATCATCTATCATTCGACGAGGAAGAAACAGGTTGCCGTAAAAACATGAGGGGGAAGACGATGAGCGAATCCACCTACGTACAAAGGAAAGGAGGGTAAACAGATTGGCCCCGAAACCGACTTCAAGCCAAACAGAAAACCCACTGTTCCCTCAATCTACCACCTAGGGATGGCAAAAATATCCGTAACCATGGAAATCCGCCCGAATCCGATTTAATTGGGTAGGGTATAATCCGGACCCGAAGGACTTTTAGTGGGTACGGGTAAAACCCGAACCCGAACATTGTGGGTAATGAGCAGGCATGGTTTTCTCACTATCCAACCCGAACCCGCCCGATTATACACATATATATGTATTTTGTCTAAAAATAACCATTATTTTTTTCTAACGTATTTTAAATTTAGCATATAAAGATAATATGTTCTAACGTACTTTTCGTTTTATGTAATGAGGGAATACATGTGAATATTAACATATTAGTTGGAGTTATAAAGAGAAACGATTATCCATGGATAACCGTGGATACCCGAAATCCGAACGGGTATGTGCATGGTTTTGATTTTCTACCCATTTCTTATGCGGGTATGAGTATTAGTAAAATCCGAACTACTTTGAATAAGGTAACGGATATGCACTATCTGTCCTCGATCCGACCCATTGCCATCCCTACCACAACTAGCATGACACATATATGAAAAACCTAGATTAGACACAAAACAACACCATCTCCTAAAGAGAGATAAGTGGAAGGATTCCACCTTGAAACTAGAAAAGTGCAATAACATCCCGGTAAAAGCCAAGACTGTCATATATATATATATATAGCAGTTATATATTCTGGTCTGGAAGAATGTATACTACGAACAAAAAGGGCACAACCTAGGAAGGACGACAATTGAGAACTAGAACAAGAGGAAAATTAGGAAATTATAATCTTCATAACAAAAAGGGCTACATTATTCTTTAAATAATGAGTAAATACAATATAATAGTCAAACATTTTATTATAAAAAAAATAATAGTCAAATCTTTTTGAAAATAATTTAATAGCTAAACCGTTAATTTTCCATCCATTCAACTGCTAGTTGACTATGATATGACCAATACCTGCTAACGTGGCAATTACTATGTCACAGGTATATATTATTTTCAATTAATTATTATTTAAAATAAATATATGTCAAATAGAGAAGGATTTTTCAATCTAACTCCCTTCCTATCTTTATATTAAAGCCCAAAATCAACGATTTATCTCCTCCCTCCCCCTCGTTCCTCTCTTTACAGATTCGGTGGCGGCGGGAAGCATAGCACTAGGGATGGCAAATTACCCACCCATGGGTAATTATACCCAAACCCAAGTAGACCCATTGATAATGGGTTGGGTATGGGTGAAGTGCATATGGATTTGGGGGTTTATAGATGGGTTTGGGTTTGGGGCTTCCATAATCTAAATGGGTATGGGTTGGATATGGATATCCATTTACTTGAGGGTGTTTTAACTACACATGCAAAAATTGGACCTATTTGCAAAACTTGAAAAGTTTAGGTACCAAAATGTAAGACCAAAAAAATTTAGGTACCAAAACGTAATTTTCCATCGATATTTTGAGGACTTATATGCAAAAAAAATTAAATTTAGGTACTAAATATGCATGTCTATTAAGTTTGGGTACCAAACTGTAATTTGTATTTGGGCATGGGTACAAACCCAAATCCATTTGATATAAACCCAACTCAACCCAAAGTAAATGGGTATGGGTACAAACCCATCAAACTCTACCCATATCCATCTATTTGGATTTCATACCCAACCCAATTGGGTTGGATAGTAAGAAACCCATGGGTATGGGCAAAGTTGCAATCCCTACATAGCACCGCTGTGCTCCCACCCGACTTATTATTCCTTTTTTTCCTGATCCGAGCGTTCCCGACCGAACCGCTCTTTTCTTTCCAAAATCGTCGACAACGGAAGATGGCTGAAGGATGCACCAAAGAAGATGAGCTGGAGGAGGAGGACGAGATGAGGAGGAGCTCGATAATGAACCTGAGCTGTAAGAGGCGAGGGAGAGGATGACAATGAGTGTGACGAGACAGATCTACTGCGGGAGCGTAGGGATCTGGGGAGGAAAGGGAAGAGGTAGCGGTGGCGGAAGGGCGGGATTCGGAGGAGCTCAGCCAGGGCCCTATGGGTGGCGAAGAGGACCATAAAAGATTGGACCTGCAATCGAAGCTCCGGAGGTGACGGCGGGAGGTGGCGGCAACCAGTGGCGGAGCCAAAAAATTGGTGATGTCTTTATCATATCATAAAAAATGACCTATATAATAGAAAAGTTAACTCTAAACGAAACAAAAAGTCAACAACGCAATACTCTAAATTCATACAATTGCATAAAAATAGTTTCACTTACACCGGTTACAACATCAAACAAATAAGTTCAGTACATACAAGTCAAGACTTCCATTCATCAAATATTCCAAAATAGAACTCAGAAGTACATTGGAATAGATTTTGGGAAACAAACAAGTGAACTTTAATTGCTACTTATTCACTTTCAGCTTTGTTTAAACAAAAGACAAGAAATTTCTCTGCTGTAGAGCTACAAAAGAAATGAGCAAATTTAAACAAAAGACAACAATTTATTACTATAAATAAAGACGAAAGTGCATTGCATAACAAAACTTACCTGGTCGAGATTGTTGGAAATGTATATGAATAGCTTTGAAAGCTATAGAGTCTCTAGTGGAAAAACTACCACATTGGTAATTTTACTTGGTGAAATGTGTATAAAGACAGGAGCCTCTCTCCCATGGGCATGCCCCTTGGGGTGACCCACTTTTGTGAGAGAGGGAGGACCTAACGGACCACCACACACGCGCGCGCGCCGTCTGTCCGACCGACCGGTTGGTTGGTTCACTTGAGACTATATATATATTTTTGGAGA